GAGGTATGAGACCGTATGACCATTTTAAAAATATTCTATCTTCTGAAAATTTTCCTGTTGATGCTTTTTTCTGAAAAATAAGGTACGATACACAAAGCTAAGTAAACATGATTTTGTCTTTCTTCCTTGTGCTAGTACATGTAAATGTACATGTATGTGTGAAAATTATGAAATTGATTGAGTAGCAATAAATAATTCAAATTCCTAAACATTTACTCAATCATCAGAGTGAGTATTTATTATAGTTAAGTTAGTTCATAATCATTTATTTTAATAAGTGGCGTATACTCATCACTCAATCTTGATCTTATCCTCTTCGCAACAAAAAATGAAAGAGTTATGATGGCTAACACATTAGCAACACCAGAACATTTCTATCATGAAAATATTAGATCATAAAAAGCGCTTGTATATTTCATGACTTACAGTAGCTGTTATGAAATCTGCACCATTTGGTGGATAAGGTCCACGACCGAGGATATATCTTGGTCCAGTGCAGTCTAAATTAGGATATTTAGTTGAATTGAGGTACAAGCAGCTACTTCCCCAACCAGACGAAACCACAAATGTGGTAATAAATAGAAATACAATAGAGACAGCATAGAATCCAACTTGGATCATCTTAGCAATGAACCTGAAATGGAATTAATTATTAGTAAGTTAGTACTGAACTTACATTTTGATATTTATTCTAAACGAAACGCTGATTAGCTCAATGGCAGTTAGCAGAGCCAGACATATTGTAGCAATGGTAGCACTTGCTATACTCAACTTACAAGTGGGTACATTATAATATACCAGACTTGCGTCCATAGCTTGAGAATAATTTATGAAAAAATAACATGCTACCCCATTATCAGTGTTAGCCTGAAGGAGACTAAGAGAAGTACCAGCAGCTCCCAATGACACTAGAAGAATCACAAAGAAAGCTAGTGAAAGGACCTGGTCATTATTTGCTGCTCTAATCATGACACTAGATCTTTATCTTTAAGAAATCTGTACAATTGTAGAAAGTACTGCTTTCTTTATATGCATAAAGGTGACCAAAAGTCACGCCTTCTCTCTGAAACAGTACTGGCACTGAAGAATATTGAGTATCGTACAATACATTATTTGTGAGGGGATCTACCTAGTCTGGCCTCTGATTGAACTCTGCTCTGTATGTTAACCTTTTGTTATTCTAACTATAATTACACTGTATGAAGCAGGCCTATGCTTGCATAATTAAGTAATGCAAATCTATCACTTGTGATGCATAAGGCAGTTGGTATGTGATTAAGATACACTAGTGTAGCTTGTTTGGGAGTGGGTGGAGCAAACTAAATCAATACACATTTACACGTAACTATAATGATGAGTTATTAACAACATTTTTGCTTTAGCTACTTATTTTTGTACTACTGATAGACAATACACTAATAAATTCAAAAAGAAATTAACAATCAGAGTCAATGGAATGTTATAGTCAGTGTTCAGTATTTTAGAATAGCTTCATTATCATCTTTTTGCCTCCTCATCAGCTTCACAATTAAGTAGCAAAAAGCTCCAATAGCTAATACAGCACCAACACCAGCAAAAACCTATCATCAAATAATGCTTTTCATATGTAGAAATGTTAATATAATGACTTACAGCAGCTGTAATGAAATCTGCACCATTTGGTGCAAAAGGCCCAACGCTAGATCTATATTGTGGTCCAGTGCAGTCAATGTTAAAGAGTGATCTTGGAGTACCACCTGAGCTTGTTATGTTCCTGTATGTAGCACAGGTCTTTCCCCAACCAGCTGAAACCACAATCATGGTAATGAATAGGAACAAAATAGAACCAACAAAGAATCCAGCTTGAATGATGTTAGCAATCAGCCTAAAGTTGAATCAATCAATAATCTTCATACCACTGAAGCACTTACCTTTTGACATTTATTTGAAATGAAACACTGATTAGCTCAATGGCAGTTAGCAGAGCCAGGCATATTGTAGCAATGGTAGCACTTGCTATACTCAACTTACAAGTGGGCAGATTATAATTTAGCAGACTTGAGTTCATAGCTTGAGTATAAGTAATGAAAAAATGACACCTTGAATATATCCCATTATTAATGTTAGCCTGAAGGAGACCAAGAGAAGTACTGGCAGCTCCCAATGACAATAGAAGTACTGCAAGAGGAACTACTGAGAGGATCTGCTTTATTATTTCAGGCATCTTCATTGAAGTTAGTACAGTTGTCAAAGTTTTTTCCTTATATACATGAAAATCATCACGGAGCCCCACCCTTTGTTTACTATATAAATACAGTTTCAGTGTTTATGCTTGTAGTCATTAGGGAACTGTCACTGCTACTATAATTCTTTATTAATTGAATGTTATACTAATTATAGTGGAAGCGTTATGAACTTGCACTGTAATGCTTTAAAGTTAAAATATTTGTATAGCAAACCAAACAACATTAATTGTAAAATTGATTATCCTCTTGTACAATATATTCATGAGTTTATGCTGCAACATGTATAGCTTACAGACTTATAAAAACAGTCTTGCAATAGCTTTCCCTGCTAGTTGCATCAACATTATATATAAGCTTTTAATTATTCTATAGAAGTTTAGGCATGCAGCCCTATCACTCAGCCATTAGCCTATAATGGTGGGATTCTCATAAAGATAGTGAAACTGCCATAATTGCATTCTAGCCTTACTGCATCAATTAGAGGAGACCAGATTTATGGCTCCCAATTGGTAGTGTCTGAGCTTGTTAAGAAGCAAGCAAACATGACCATAAATAAATTGTAATACTGCATGGGTAGCTAGTGTATTGCAATGGCATTCATGATGCATATAATGTGGCAAAAAGTCAAACTTTTCCATTGCATTATTTGCGAGGGAAACTACCTTGTCTGAGTGGCTATTTGACCCATGCACTGTACCTTGTACTGGAAAGTACCTTTTTGTTGCTGTCATTGCATGTTATTGTAGCTTAACCAGATAATTCCTCAACCTACTGTCATTTTTGTGCCAGCCGTCCACTCAAATACATGTAACTGTCACTGGGGCTACTGAGACTAATTGTAGTATAGCATTGCAATAATTGCCTGCTAGGTGAGTAGAACTCAATGTAGTTTCATAACTAAAAGCTAACT